CTGATGGCTTTGACAAAGAGACAAGTCAGAGTGTGGCTGTCACAGTGAGGGCCCCACTCAATGGACTGAGCGAACTAAAAGGAAGGTGAAGGTGGACGGCTTACGAGGGAGGGCAGGGTCTCCGGCAGCCTGCTGAGGGGGAGGGAAGGCCCACAAGGCCGCCACCACCCTCTCACCCCATCGTGGGTCACCTGTCCCTCTGCTGCTGTCCTCTGAGTCTGTTTGGTCCTCTGGGAGCCTAGACTATATTCAAGAATTCTGGTGGCGGAGCCCACAGCAGGTTGTGCTGTTAACCAAAAGGCCGCTGCTGGCTGCTGGCAGTTCAAATCCACCCGCGGCTCCAAGAGAGAAGGCACAGTCCTTCCATGAAGATTCACACCCTCGGAAATGCAAACAAGGGCTGCTGTGCGTTGGAATCAATCAGTAACAGCAAATGAATGATCAGAGTACTATTCACCAACATCACAATTCAAAAGCACCAATTCTTTTTCTAGCTTTCTTGTTCACTCTCACGTACATACGAAGCAATGGAAAACACTATGGCTTGAGTCAGGCACATTTTAGTCTTTAACATAACGCCATTGCTCTTTACATTTTAAAGAGGTCCTTGCCAGTGCATTTGTCTTACGTAAAACGTCACTTGATTTTTTTTTTTAAATCACTTGATTTCTTGACTGCTTATCAGTCCAATTGTGAGGACTTTCATGTTCTTGGTGTTGAAATGTAATCCATATTCAAGGTTGTAGAGCTTGATCTTCTTCAGTAAATGCTTCAATTTCTCTTCACTTAGAGCAAACAATGTTGTTTCATCTGCAAAGCCAAGGTTGCTGATGGGTCTTCCCCCAATCCTGATGCCTCATATAGTCCAGATTCTTAGGTTACTTGCTCAGTGTATTATTAGCAAGTATAAAAGGAAAGAAAAAGAAAGAAAATGCATTTACAGGCTCTGGTGGTGCATATGATTAAGTATTTAGTCAACCAGAAGGCTGAAGGAGTGAATCCATCCACACATGCCCAAAAGAAAGGTCTGGAAATCTACTTCCAAATGATGACAGGCACGGATATCTAAATGGACAACAGTCTTACTCTGACATATATGAACTTGCTGGGAGCTGGACAAGATCCTATGGTAGTGGGTTTTTAGACTGGAAAGGAAGAAGTAAAACTGTCTTCATTTGTACACATGACCCTGTGTAGAAAATCCCAAGGAATCTGTAAGCCAACTACCAGAATCAATGAGTTCGTCAAGAAGAAAGGCTGAAAGACCAGGATTCGAGAAGCTGGGTTCTATGAAAAGGAATGTGGCATCAGGATCGGAGGAAGACTCATCAACAACCCACGTTACGCTGCTGACATAACCTGGCTTGCTGAAAGTGAGGACAATTTGAGATGCCTGCAGCAGATCAAAGACTACGGCTTTCAATGTGGATTACATCCGAACATCAAGAAAATAAACATCTTCCCACTGGCCCAATAGGCAACATCATGGTAGCTGGAGAAAAGACTCAAGTTGTCAGTGAGCTCATCTTGCTTGGATTCACATCAACATCCTTTGTACCAGTAGTCAGGACATCAGGAGAAGTATTGCATTGGGCAAGTCTGCAGACAGGGATCTCTCCAAAGTACTAAGGAGCAATGACGCCAGTTTGAAGACTAAGGTGCTCCTGATTCGGGCCACAGTCTTTCCAATCACTTACAACATATTTGAGAGCCGGACAATGAATGGAGAACTGTTGCCTCTGAGTTGTGGCGTTGGAGATTAGTACTGAATAATGGACTGCCAAAAGAACAAACTGATCTTCCTCAGAGAAACGGCAGCCAGAGTGCAGCTCCTTGGAGGCAAGGATGGCAAAGCTTTGTGGCACATACGTTGGGCATGTTGCTAGGACAGGACATTCCTTAGAAGGGGACATGATGCTTGGGAAGGTGGAGGGTCAGCCAAAGAGAGGAAGATCTTCAATGAGATGAACTGACACAGTGCAGCAATGGGCTCAAATGTGTCAGAGGTGATGATGATGGCACAGGATAGAACAGAGTTTGTATCTGCTATTCATCGGGTCGCTAGATGAGTCACATTCAACCTGACAGCACCTAACAACAACAACAGTGAACATTGAGTAATAGGAAAAAGACGTTAAAGAAACAATTTTAGTCATAAAATATGAAAAAGCCTTAGTATAAAGCTATAGATGCTACAAAGACAGAGTAGTCTGGCATAAAGATGGACACTGAGCTCAGGGGAACAGAACGGGGAGTCCAGAGACCTGAGATGATGGCTAATTTTTAACAGAGCGTCAAAGGTGATGGAAGGGAGAAAGAAGAGTCTTTTCAAGTTATGGTGCAGGGTCAGTATAAACCCAACATGTGGAAGGCAGGAGGAAGGACTAGAGAGCTAAGATGACAAACTATTACCAGCAGACTTGGGGATAAATATTCAAGATGTGGGTCTAGGTAACGGGGTTCCTAGATAGGACACCGGAGTAGAAGTAATAAAAGAACAAAATGATAAACTGGACTTCATCCAAATGAAAAATTTTTACACTTCAAAAGGTACCTTCAAGAAAATGAGAAAAACAAGTCAGGGGTGAGAAAATATTTGAGAAAATAGTTGAAAATGTATCTGGGTGAAGACTGGTATCCAGAAAATGCAAGTAACTCTTACAACTAAATGATAAGACAAATGATCCAATTTAAAAGGGGCCAAAGATCTGAGTGGACATTTTACCAGGGAAGGTATACAGTGGCCAACAATAACAGGAGAAATGTTCAACATCTCTAGGAGACTCTCATCAAAACGAGGGGCAGCGCCCTGCACATCGCCACAAAGACCATTACCAAAAAGAAAGGCAATCCCACGGGCAGAGGAGGGTCTGTGGAGGCTGACGTCCCTGCTGGGGACAGGATGGCGCCAGCCAGGTGGAAAATGCTGACCATGGGCTCTGCACGTTGCTGTTGTTAGGGGCCATGGCATCTTCCCTGGTCCCTGACACCGGTCACCATCAGGATGAAACCCACACCACAGGATGCTACAGTTTCATGACTAGATTTAGGGAACGCATCACAACGAAGACTTTCACGGGATTGGTCAAAGCAACGTTATTCATAACCAGAAGATGGAAATATGTCGTGTCCACCCCGGGATGAATGGATCATCAGGTTGTGGTGTATACATGCAATGGAAGAGTCTTCAGCCATGAACAGAATCGAAGGGCTGACACATGCTACAACCAGGACCACCCTCACTCCTCTTGGGCAAAGAAGGCAGGTGTGAGAGCCACACTGCAGGGTCTCCGTGACTATACGTCCAGAGGAGGCACATCTCCAACAGGAAGGGGAGCCCCGGGGTGCGTGTGGGAAGGGAGTGGCCTGCTGCAGCCGTGCGAACCCCTCTGGGGTGAAGGAATGATGTGAGACTGCGGGGAAGGCTGTGCACCCCCATAAACACAGCAAGTCACTGAATCACACAATGAAAACACGCCAGTGAGGTCACCGTGAAGGCAGGGTAAAAGAACTCCAGGAGTTCCTCTAGGCCCCCGTGACAGAACCATTCTCTGGACAGTGCTGTTTCCGGGGAGGGGTCCCCCCACCCCCGGGGGGAAGGAGCCCGCCTGAGACGCCCTGCTCGGTGCCAGGAGTGAGCCCAGGATTCAGGACCCCCCCCCCCGCCCCCATCAGCCTGCACTGCTCACAGCACCCCTCCAGCAGAGCCCCAGGCTGTGAACCCAACCTGCCCGGCTTTCCCTCCAGCCCTAGAGGTGGATTTGAACCGCCGGACGTGCAGACTTTGGGTTACCAGTGCAACACCCTATGCCAGCAGGGGTCCTGCTTAAAAAAGAAATGAAGGCACACCAGCATTTATATACTGTTTGGACACTGAAATGTTTACATTCTGAAAATGATAGTTTCATATCAAGCCATCACTGAGCAGTAATTATAATTATCCAAGGAGCTCTGCTGACACAGTAGGTTAATTGTTGGGCTGGTAGCTGAAAGGTCACTGGTTCTAATCCACTAGCTGCCTCTAGGCTAAGGAGGAGGCAGTCTCCTCGTGCTAATAAAGCCAGTGGAAGCAGTGGGCATCTATGCCTTGGTCCAAAAATCAACTGGCAGTCATGTGACAGTCACGTGACAGCAGGCGCCCATCATTTCCCTGCTATTCATATGACGCTGGTTCATGGACATGAATTCTTAACCGGGGCTGTCCCTTCTTCCCTCCCTCCCTGAAGACGAGCCCGGGGCCTTCGGCCGAGGCTCAGTGAGTGCAGGTGACAGTGCCCAGTGCCAGCCCTGATGGCGAACCCACTGACAGACATACCACCGAGCTTCCTAAAATAAACCATTTATTGAAAAAAGAAACTTTTCAATTTCACCGATCGGCCTTTTGCATAATCTGAAGCTTGCCAACAACAAAAAGGGAAGGGTTCACAGTCAGCGCACTCAACAAACAGATTAAAAAACAAGGTCCAGAACGCTCGGCCTTCGGAGCCCTGGCAGTCCAACACCTCACCATGGGCGTGCACGTCCCCCAGGGTGAGGGCGTGCTCGTCCCCGTGAGGAGAGTGCGTGCTCGTCCCCGAGGGTGAGGGCGTGCTCGTCCCCGTGAGTGTGAGCTCGTCCCCGAGGACAGCACGTGCTCGTCCCCCTCAATGACAGCGCGTGCTCGTCCCCGGGGACAGCGCATGCTCGTCCCCGGGAACAGCGCATGCTCGTCCCCCTCAATGACAGCGCGCGCTGGTCCCCGAGGACAGGGCGAGGGTGGCCCGGGTACAGTAGTAATGGCACTTAACATGCAGCTTCTTCGCCCTGCGGACGCCCTCGGCGGAGGGCCTGTGCCGGGAAGCCCAGGAGCAGCAGGAGTGACCCGTCACCTGTGCAGTCTGCAGTCTCGGAAGGTAAAGGCGCGCACTGCTTCTCGGCACAGTCTCATGTAAATATTACATACAGTAGTGATCAGACAGCTTTCCGAGTCCAGACGCCACCAGGCCACGGGCCAGTCGGCTTCATTCTTCATCTGTGCAAACCTGCGGGGAGGCAGGGCACGGCTGAGCCCACAGCACCGGGCAGGGGCTGCCCAGGACCTGAGGGCCTGCCTGACTAGTGTGGCACGTGAGCGGCGAGGCGTGGGGGGGGGGGGAGGCGGAAGAAGGGGGCATCCACACGAGGTGACCACTCTGAGTGACGCCTGGGGTCAATGCAAGGTGACAGCTGAGTGACATGTATGATCAGGGCTAGGTGACCACTGAGTGCCACCTGTGGTCAGTGCCAGGTGACCACTCTGAGTGCTGCCTGTGGTCAGTGCTAGGTGATGGCTCTGAGCAATGCCTGTGGTCAGTGCTAATTGACCATTGTAACCGATGCCTGTGGGCTTGGTAGTGACAGCATCGTGTGGATATGTGGTGTTCTGGCAACACAAACACCTTATATACTCATTACTAAGCAATCACAGTTTGACGTAGCTATGGACCCTGAGGGACTCTCCTCACCCTCGGACAGCTGTCCATCCAGACCAGAGCCTGGCGGCCCTCCTCACCCCATGTGGTTTCTCTGGAGGTTCATTCATGCATCAGCCTCTGCACATGGTCCCACCAACTGGCTGTCCTTGTCCAGCTGTCCCTTAGGACGGCCAGTTCAAAGCATCGACACAGCTACCTAAAACCCCAAGCAGGCGTTCCACCCCCTCACAGCTGTCCCTCTGGAAAGGCCACCATCACCGTTCTGGCCCACATCTCTACCACCGCCCCCAGACCTCCTCATGCGGTGAGGGAATCCTGTTAACTCAGTGACTTGGCAAAGACCTCGAGCCTCCCAGATGCTGGCCACACCTCCCCCATCCAAGCCTGACCAGCTCCCCAGTCCAGGCCTTCCCAATGGCTAAGAACCCCTTTTCCTTGCTCAAATCCCCGCCTGACCCGGAGCCATGCCAAGAGCTTTCTCTCCAATGTTAACTAGCCGCCTGGGTAAAGCTCCTGCCTCTGTCCAGCCACACCTCTGCCACTTTCCACACCTGCTCTGCCAGGTCCTGGCTGAGTCTTCTCATCTTCTCCCGTGTCCACCTCTCCTGCTGCACTCCCTACCTTTGGACACCACATTACAGGAAGCACACGCTGAGATGACCTGACTGGACTAAACCCCTCTCCTGAGTGACGCGAAATGGCAGGGTCACAGGGCTGCTTCTACCCTCCAGACACACACTCCCAAGTATAAACCACTGGGAATCTTCCATTCAGTCCTGCTTAAATCCAGTGGAACTGTCCCAGATGAACCTCAAGTCTAATTTATCCCAAATGGCAAAAGGAGGAGAAACTCAGTCAGCATTTCTGAGTAGAAGAAAATATTCCCGTAGGCCCCTGAAATAATTACTATATTCCACATTGGGTCACTGCTGAGAGGTGTACTCCCTCACATCTACGTTCCCAACCCCCTCAAGTACCGGCTGGAAAGCAGCCCCCGACAGTGACCACAACAGGAGCAGAGCGCACGTGCAAACCTTGACAAAGGCGTGGTCGAGGAGCTGGCTGGCCGTCCACCTCATCTTTGGGTCACTCTCAAGGCAGTGAGAGAGGAAGTCCTTGCCTTCTGGGCTTAACTTTTCAGGGATCGCAGGCTTATGTCCCATCCCCACTTTGTACATAATCTGGAAGTTGTGTTCATATTCGTGCCACGGCCTCTGAAAAGACAGAGAAGGACAGGTGTTAACACTGCACGGCCAGGTGCAAACGCAGACCTGCCCTGCCTTTACAGGCGCCTCGGCGTCAGGATGTAACCAAGATGGGAAGACACGTCTTAAACGTCCAGGCAGGAAATCACTGGGCTGTGTGGGTCAGGTGGGTTTTGGCACAACTCTTCAATCCCCCAACTTATGCTGCGCCAGTAAGTCACAGGTAAGTAAGACTTACATGAACAGAATGGCTATGACCCAATAAATCTTTATTTACAAAGCAGAAAGACAGCATAGTTTGCCTAATCCATATGGGATGTTCTCGTAGTGCAGGATTATCTAGAAGTCAGTATCACATCAAATAAAAATGCAATGCTTCAAAGTAGGTTAACATTTTGGTAAGACACAGCTATCTCGCTGTTGTTGGCAGGCACCATCAAGTCGAATATGATGCATAGCGACCCCGTGAACAACAGATCTGAACCCTGAGCTGTCCTCACTGTGTCGGACACACATGAGCCCATGCTCAGTCACTGTGCCAATCCACTTCATCCTCTCTCTCTTGTTGACCCTCGATCTTACTAAACATAATGGCCCTTTCCAAGAAACCACTTTCTTGGGGGGTGTTTACCATCTGCCCATTGACTAAAGAGCACTGAACCCGCTAGGGCGGCATGAGCCCCGCTCACTGTAGCTACAGGCAATGAGGTTCCATGGTGGCACACGAGTTGGTGCACCATCTAAACCATGGAGTACTGCTGAGCTACTGTGACCACAGCCGTCCATCCAGGGAGCCCTGGCTCTGCGCATGCGCGGTCTGACAGATGTACTACACTGACCACAGCCGTCCAGCCGGGGAACCTTGGCTTTCTGCGCATGCATGGTCTGACAGATGTACTACACTGACCACAGCTGTCCAGCCGGGGAGCCCTGGCTCTGTGCATGCGCGGTCTGACAGATGTACTATGGTGACCACAGCCATCCAGCTGGGGAGCCCTGGCTCTGCGACGTGTGGCCTGACTCACGTACTACAGCGATACCAACCAGCCATTTGAGAACTGAAGAGGTGGTTTTGTGTTCGCTCCCCGAGTCGGCCACAGCTCAAAGCGACCCTGTGGACAAAGGCAGGGGACCGTGCCGGGTCCTGCGGCACCCTCACGACGCCTGCAACCCTTAAAGCCCACAGTTCAGGCACTGTGTCGGTCCAGCCTGCCCAGGCTTTTCCTCTTTCTCGGACCTTCCACTTTCTTAAGAGTGACGTCCTTCTCTAAGAACTGGCCCCTCCTGACAAAGTGAGAGAGACAAAGCCCTTTAAAGGAGCACCCGGGATGCACTGTCTCCAGAAAGGAGCCCTCGTGGGGCAAAGGCTTTGCTACTAGCCAAGAGGCTGCTGGTTCAAACCCACCAAGGGCCTCCACGGGAGAAAGAGCTGGCGGTCTGTGCCCAGAGGTGTCAGCCGAGGAAACCACAGGACAGCTGCGGAGTGGAAATGAACTTGACAGCACTGCCGGCAGACACAGCCACGGCACTGGCCTGTGTGTCCTTCAGAAACGGCAGAGGCAGGCCAGCTACATAACTCCTCTACTGAACAATCTCCTCCGAGGAGCACTGGCTGTGCTCTAGCGTGTCAGGCTGCTGGCTGGAGACTGCCGGCAGGACCCCCCAGCGCTCGCAGGGGCCGTCTCCCCCGCAGTTACAGAGCGAGCGCCGTGGAGGCAGTGGAAGCCTTCCGTCAGTGGTGAGACATGATTGAAATTCTGGGATGATGTAGCTCCAGCTGGAAGTTCCAGGGCAGTTCTACCACGCTGGATTTTCCGGTTTCCTGGTGATCACAGAGAACACTGAGTATTCTCCGTAATTTAAAATGTCCCTCAACTTCTCAGTGAAAAAGAAAAGTTTCATTTGAAATAGATTATCTGATTATTCAGCCCACTCCTGTGGTTCTTTTTCAGGACCATGTGCTTCTCCATGCTGCCACGGAAGCCTAACGTTTATTATTTAATGTGGGAGCTTATTTATGTTTATTATTTACGTGTGGGAGCTCTGTTAATTCTCACATCTGTTTAAACACTTGTTTGTGGGTCTTCTTTTGCCCACTCCTCACGGTACCTGACAGGTCACCCTGAAACCCCGCGTCGGCTTCTCTACTGGGTCATTGGTGTCCCCACGGCTGCAGAGGGCTGAGGGTGTGGACCCTGCTTACCTTCCCCGTGACCATCTCAATCACCACGCAGCCCAGACTCCAGACGTCGGCGGAGCGCCCGTGTCCTTCCCCCTTGGCACGTGTGATGACTTCGGGAGCCATGTAAGCTGTAACGGGCACAGAGACGGGGGTCAGTGTGTTGCGGACCCCGCCTGTAAAGACGCCAACCACGCCAGTGACAGAGTTCACAGTGTGGAACCGTCTCCAGAGAAACCACCTGTCAAGGGGGGGTGTGCCCCCGAGCCAGACCAAAATACTGAGCAGTACTGAAGCTCCCATCCTTTACGGCAGCCAAGGAGCCCTGGTGGCACAGCAGGGAAGCACTTGGCTGCGTTAGCCTGCTCCCTCGTCTCTCTGTGCAGAAGGCTGAGAGAGCCCCGCGTCCAGGGCTGTAAACGCTGGAGCCCTGGATGCCTCTGGACGGTCACAGACAGCCCCACAAGGTGGCCGTGAGTGACAGTGCCACCTGGTCTGCCACCAGAGACCCAGGTCTGAGGCCTCGGCCATCTGTAGGATCATAACCTCACCTCTTTCTGAGTCCCCAAGGACCGAGGCCAGCGAGGGACCCAGCCACGAGGCTCGCTGCGTCACACGACAGCACACAGGCTGCTTGGCTCCTACCTGCTGTCCCCAGCGTGCTGTTCACCTCGCCGGGCATGGTCTGGGAGTTGTTCTTGAGCTTCACCGAGCACCCAAAATCTCCCAGTTTGATTAGTCCCGAGGAGGTAAGGAAGATATTGGCACCTGCAAGATGTGACGCAAGAGGTGGGCTTTAGGAGTCTAACAGTGTGACGATTTGTACATTTAGTGGGATGGACAAATCAGCAAGTGGCTGTCTCACAGGCATGAAGTCGCTGGCTTACACACTTTCACAAGTGTGGTTAGTAGTAAGAGGATTGTAATGCAGTTGTAAGATGATTTTTTTCCCTAAGATAATTTTAAGAGGAAAAAACCATAATATACATGAACGAAATAGAATACAAATGAAAGACTGTTATAACACAATGTACAGGCATAACACTTAAAGTATATGACTGACAAAACATTTGTGCATCAGTCCACAAGCTTTCCTAACTCAAAGCGCAGGTTTCAACAGCGGGCAGGGCACACAGCTTCCACTGTAACCACTAACCGAAGAGGCAGAGTCAACCCTCAGTTCTAGTATCAAAAGCCGTCGGTTACACTCGGGGGGGGGGACCAACGAGCTGGAACTTTGTCTACAAGCCATGCGCACCCCTCACTGGCACTTCGCTGGGAGCTGAGGTCACCGCTGGTCTGGCAGGGAAGCTCTGACTTACATCTACCCGATGCCCTCACTCCATGTGAGCCCATCTTGGGCACCGTCCTCCTGCAGAGGGCAGTGCCGAGTCAACAGTCAGCAGCTGCACTGAGGCCCAGGAGTGCACCCCTCGGCTTGAGTGCTCCCCAGACCCCACGCCGGCCACCTCGCTGTCCTCAGCCCGACTCAGTGAACATTCTCAAATGTGTCAGATGTGCTGAACCACCAAGACCGTAATGGGAGCTGGGGAGCCGAACGACCTGGGGATGCCTTTTGTAGCCATGTGGCGGTGCCACTTTATGCCACAGAGTTGTGGACAAGGGCAGTGCTACTGCCTGGCCAAGGGCAAATACCTGGCCAGCAAAGTGATGGAGGGGGCAGCAGACTCCCAGAGATGGGTACAGGCTGGGTGACAGAGGGAGTAATCTCACGCCCAGACCGCAGCAGAGCTCGATTCCAAAGAGCCCGCTGGGGTCCAGCACACAGGCGAAGGGCCTGCAGGAAGTCAGGCTGATCCCAGAGTGAAAGAGTTGAGGCTCCACGTTAGTCTTGAGCAAACAAGAGACGAGACCTGCTGGTGCAGCCACCTGCAAGGTTCAGAAAGAGGCCCAGGGTTCTCTCAAGCCACAGGCTGCTGTTGTTAGGTGTTGTAGGTCGACAGTGACTGGCAGTAACCCTAGCAACAACAGATCTGAACCTTGCCAGAAGGGAAGTCCTGACATCAGGCAAACCTAGCATCATCCGGCCAGCTCTGGCTCTCGGCAGCCCTCCGTCAGGCTGCCAGGGCTGGGAAGCCTTACAGGAAGATGCTGCCCACCCTCCTCCCAGGAGTGACAGGAGGAGCTCTGACCTGCCTACCTTCTGACATGCAGCCCAACTGTGAACCTAGGGCCCTTCCTCCAGCGGCCACAGGGCCAAGCGGCCCCCCTGAGCAGGATCTAGTCTGGAGGAGGCGGCAAAGGGGTCCAGGTGCTCAGTGCTAACTGAAAGGCTGGTAGCTCCAAGCAGAGGCTGCTCTGCGGAAAGCTGTAGCCATCTCCTCCTGCGAGGGTCCCCACCCTGCAAACCCTGGGGGAGGCTCGATCTTATCCTCAAGGGTCACCCTGAGCAAGGAGTCTCTCAACAGCAAGGGGACAGTTTGGGTTATGTCTCCGCAACATGAGCTGCACACTCTGGCTGGAAATGCCATCTGTGACGGGCTGTTCCTGTCCAGGTTCACAAAGTACAGAGGTTCACAGTGTGTCCGGCCCCGGGGAGAGAAGCGGTGCCTTGTTCAAGAACACACAGACGTACAAAGCCTGCCTGATCCGCTCGTGAAAACCACAGACGCAGTTAACAGGGAGACAGACTGTCCCGAAGGCACCGCTGGGCAGCCCTGTAAGCTGGTGGACGAGGCCTGAGGCTCACTGGGCATGTGAAACAAGGCACGCCCTGGTCTGGAGCTGCCTGGCGGGAGGTCCCTTGTGCGGGACACAGCACGCACCAGCGCGTCAGTTACCTTTGATGTCCCGGTGGACGATGCCATGCTCATGCAGGACGTTGATGGCCACCGTGATCTGCTTGGAGTACAGCCGGATGACGTGCTCCTGCAGCCCCAGGCGGGACACCTCCTCCAGGGTGCCCTCGTCGCAGTACTCCATGAAGATGTACATCTCCTCCTGCGGGAGGAAGGACACACAGCTGTGCTGGCCGCTTCCCGCACACGTGTGCCAAGTGAGACACAGCCAAGTCCCAGAGCCCGCCCCGGAGGAGCCGCTGTCCAGCGGCGCTCGACACCTGTCCCTCAGAGCTCTGAGTCCTTCTCTGGCCCCGCTGTGACGGGGTCCACCTGCCTTCTCCGTCTGCAGTTACGCAGCCAGGTGGGGCAGGGACATGACGGCCAAATCAAAGTGGACACGGCGCTGCAGACAGGGACCAGCAGGGCCGCTCCGAGGAGTGTACAAGTCCTGACACACAGCCTGTCCAAATATGAACATTACCCAACACAGGTGACCCTGGAGGACACTATGCTCTGTGAAATGTCTGTCTCACAATGACAAAGACTGCATATCACCTCTGTTATAAAGCAGGACTGACAGGGAGGGTTGGGAGGAGGATAGGAAAATAGAGAATCGATAATGAATGAACACTGTATTAGAACAGATGAGGGAGAGAACTGCTTAAAAGCAATGTATGATTAGGTATGACATGTAAGACAGTGGTCCAGAGTAAGAGACACACTGCGGGGAAGTGGGGAGGAGGAAATTGTGCAACAATAAATGAGTATTTTTTAGAAAAAGAAAGTGAACTGGGGGAGGGAGAAGGGGGGGAAATGTGCCACAATGAATGAATGAAAATGGAACTTTTCTGTAAGCTTTTGTTAAAATCACAATTAAAAGAAAAAATTTAAAAAATAATCAAAACAACAAATAAGTCTTTCTTTGTGAAAACATCACTATCCACTTCCCCTGGCAGCTCACACCCTGGACCAAGAAGCTCCAGGTCACACGCTTTCCCTCCACCGTCTCCTTACACGGGGTGAACGTGGGTGCTCTCCCTCGTCCAGAGGAGCTGGAGGACAGCCTGCGTACTCAGTGTCTCCACCCAGGGGAGCCAGGAGGCCCCTCACGGGGGCGAACGTGAGTGCTTGGGAGCCCCAGTGTCTCCACCCAGGGGAGCCAGGAGACCCCTCACACAGGGACAAACGTGAGTGCTTGGGACCCCCAGTGTCTCCACCCAGGGGAGCCAGGACACCCCTCACACGGGGACAAACGTGAGTGCAGGACCCAGTTTCTCTGCCCAGAGGGACCAGGTGAACACCCTCACACGGGGTGAGTGAGTGCTCGAGACCCCCAGCGTTTCCGCCCAGAGGAGCCAGGAGAACACCTGAGGTGACTCCTGGTTGTCAGGACGGCCTTCTGTGCTGTCTAGTGTCGGGATGGAGACACTTCAGGGAGAATGCCTCTAGTGTCAGGGTCAGAGGGAAGCAGCCATGGCGTGGCCACAGAGAGCTCCTGACAATTACACAGAGCCACAGTGCTCTGAAACGATAGATATGGCCTGCGGGGTGAAGGGGCTCCACGGTGCCCTCACGCAGGGCACTGTCACGTGCGGCGGCTTACTCTGTGAAGCTCCACGCCAAAATACCGGACCAGATTCGGGTGCTTGATGCCTTCAAATATCTTCAGCTCGTCCGCTGTTTCCTTGATGGTTTTGTGGTCATTGGGCTGGAATCGGATCTGTAAGGAGAACCGAGGGTTACTACTGCAGCACCGGCCCCAAGGGCCAGGCTCCGGGAGGGTGCACGCCTTCCCCGTGTCACTGTGCGGCCTGGGACCGCGGCCACACGCTAGTGGCCTCACTTGCAGATTCTCTGCCACACCTGCTTACGAGTCGTGGAGAAACATCTACTGGGAGCATCGTTTTCACGAAGGAAAATGACATTCTCAAGTGCAGTGAATACTAGGTAAGCAGCACGGACTTGACAAGGTAGGATGCTGCCCTCAGAAGGTGGACGGTCAGGCTGGAGAGAGGACAGCAGTGCTGGGACAGCTGTGCGGGCAGGAAGGGGTCCAGGGTGGGGACGGCAGGGCAGAGCAGAGCCTCTCTCACCCCCTCATGTCTCTGCACGTGCTCTCCCTGCCCCTGTACTGTCACCACGCCAGTGGCCTCCAGAGCAGGCAGCAGTCTCTGCCCTCAGAATCCTTCCATCTGCCTGCCCCTCCTCTTCCTCTTGCTTCCAGAGTCGAAACAGGACTCATTTCTGGAACTTACTCACCTACAAATGCTCTCTTCCTGTCCCTCTGCCCCAACCAGCCCCTCTGAGGCACACACCCTGTGCTCCTGGGCCCACCAGGCTTGCCCACCCTGTCCACCCAGTGTTGGTCTAATGTAGCCCAGGGATGTCCACTGGGTCAGTCCCACAGGGAAATGGGGCTAGCTGGGGCCTGGCCTGGCCCACTCTCCGCAGACAGCACCGATGCTGCCCAATGTGTGATGAACTTCATAAACTCACGCTTCTTCCTCGAATTCCTCACACGGAGGTCAGAAGACTCACCTCCTTCATCGCCATCAGCTCGCCAGTGTCAACGCTGATACATGTGTACACCTTCCCGTACTGTCCTTCTCCTGCAAACACACAACAGAGCTCAGGCCACCGCCTGAAGCCACATGACAGCCACGAGGCCCACGGTGTCCCTGAGCCCCGTGGTGTGTCCAGTTAGCGTCACCCAGGAACACCTCCTCACACAGGGCAAGGCTCAGTGAGCAGCACACCTGAGCCCTGTGCTCCTGGAGGAGGCTGGGCCGGAGGGTGCAGAGGGCCTTCGAGGGGTGTCGGGCCCGGCGGCATGAGGTGCACATTCACCATCTTGGTGTAATAAAGCAAGGGGATGAAGGCTGAGCGGAATGAGGGCAACAATGAATTCTGTGTATGGTCATGATGTCTCAGGTGCCTCTGACCTCGCTGATGGGGTGGATTCTCGATGCCTCCTGGGGTTCACAGGGTCCCATCTGCCCTGGACCTGCCTAGCAGCCCTGGATGTGACAGCTCGTGAGCCTGGAAGGCTGACAGGTCTCCTCCCTCACCACCCCCACCAGCTTCTCATGAGACGCGGTCCCTGCATCTGTGGCAGACTCCCTGTCCATGTCGTCCTTGCTGGGGGACAGTGTCCCTGAGAACACGCATCCAGTTCTGACCACTCTCTGCTGGAAGGTGCTGGAGCCATCAGTCCAGTCCTGCCCTTCGTCAGCTCCTAAAGGATCTCTGCTACAAACCACCCTTTCTACTATTCTCTATTTTACAATGAAAAGATGGTGTATTTGTGCCACATCCGTAAGGGATCAGGGTCAAGTCTACCCAAGGATACAAGACGGAGCCCCAGGAGGTGCGTCGGCGCGTTCCCTGAGAAAATCTCCACTTGCCGTTCCCTCGCCTCCTTACCGATTTTGTTTCCACGCTGCCATTTGAAGGTGACCTTCCTCAAGCCCACATGCATGACATTATCGTAGGACTTCGGGGTATCGCAGACTTGACCGATGATGTTCTTTCTCCTCATCTCTCGGTACCTCTTTTCTTCAAACAATCGCACCGACTTCTGGATGGCCTCGATGGGCCCTTGCTTAGAGGCAGTGTCTGCAGGGGAGGCCACCACTCATCAGCCCAGTGACCACCGCGTCTGTTCCCGGCACAGGACAACTCAAACGTCACTGCTCCTGACAGCACGTACCTCGTCCATTACAGAGCCAGTGCGTTCAAGTCCTTTCAGCTCTCCCAGCAGCAGCGTTTGCCACCCCTCAGACAGGGCAAACCCAACCCACTGAGCCGTGCCACCTGTGATGCACTGAAGCCCTCGCCCCGGCAAAGGCTGTTCACCTCCCCAAGAGCACACTGTCCGTCGTTTACGTCCCGGAGAGCCCCAGGCACAACACCCTCCCCCACCAGGGCTCCTGAAGGACCACTGAGATGTCGGAGTACACAGACTCGCACCCCTCAAGCCAGGGACCTGAAGCACTGCTCACTAGATCAGGGATTTCACTCACAAGCCAGTCACAGGTCACCCACAGGAGAAAGATGGGCAAACTCCTCCTGTGAGGATTGGCAGCCTCAGAAACCCAGTGGGCGGCACCAGGGGTCAGACTCTACTCAAAAGCACCAGATTTGGCGTATGCTGTGGTTGTGTACCGTCAAGTCGGTATCACCCCAGTGGGTTTTCAGAGGCAGAAATTACGCAGGAGGGATTGTACATTCTTCTGCAGAACAGCTGCTGCATTTGAACCACGTGCCTTTGGGATTGCAGTGCAGCTTCTTGCCACTCGGCCACCAAAGCTCTCTAGATTTGGGGGTGTGTGTATGTGTTTTTACAATCATATAATATAGTAATATTTAAACAAATTTATCATACTTGTTTGGGTTAATAGGTTACAAAGAAAATCTGGTGGTTATAATATTCAGCTGCTAATCAACAGGTTGGCAGTTTGAATCCACCACCAACCCTACAGGAGAAAGACATGGCCACCTGTCTCTGTAAAGATTTCCAGCCCTGGAGCCTCTCAGGGTGGCCCTGCCCTGTCCCCCAGAGTAGAGCAGAGTCAGAATCGCCTGGACCACAGCAGGCTGTTTGGTTTGGGTCTTTGGTGGGGGCTGGACGTGAGTGGAGTGAAAAGCACCCCTTTGCACAGGTCTACACTGTGGCACTGAGCACACTGGGTCCTAGTGAAAGTCAAGTCACCAGTGTCCAATCAGAACCAATAGACAGCTGCCCCAGTGGCAGGTTTTCAGAGGCTGCAAACAGCACAGGAGACTGCTCCCCTTTCTCCCACAGAGCAGCTGGTGGGTTCGAACTGCCAGAGTGGGAAGGTCTTTCAGCTGTGGTGCAGCTCTCTACAGCCTACACCATCAGGGCTCCCTAACTCACTACAGCCTGGTTTTCTGGGGACACAGACAGGTCCTTGAGGTCTGGGATGAAAACGAGAACTTGAGAAGAGAAATCGCCAAAACGTTCTAATTGTCATTCCTTTTTTACAATCATTTCCCACAAACACAGGTACTCTGTGTGTGTGAAGACAGACAGACATGATGCTACTTAGCATTGTACAGCATTTAAACAGCTGTAGGGGCAAGGATTCCATTGTCAAAGCCTTTCCCAGAAATGCCTCGTGGTGGTTTTTAAAACTCTTAAGAGTTTGTCAGTGCGGACAGTATTTGGTGAAGCTCCCCAGTTAAAACAAGCTTGGAAGCAGGAGTGGCATCCACTTCCGTAAATAGCTTGCCTCCAGAAACCCTATGAACCTGGAGAGAGGATGAAAGTCACACAAGTGTTGAGGACTTTGGTTCACAGGGTCACTATGAGTCGCCTGCGACTCAACGGCACTTAACAACAACAAAAACGATTGCCTGGTCTTTAGCATGTGCACGTGACTTACTGTCCCGTCAGGCACAGGTTCCCGGCAGTTTCCACATGGACTTGATCATGGGGGGCTGTTTTGAAAGCCATCAAAAACTTGGGGTTTCTGGAAAATTACTCAGAATCCATGGGCCAGCACAGAGCTTTTCTCCCTGTCACCCAGGCTCGAGTCTAGGAGCTTCCTGAGTCCCTAAATCCTTTCACACATCTAGCCTGTCACAGTCCTTCCTGCCAACTGCTGGGCCCAACTCCCCCTTGGCCTTCTCTTTCTAAGCCCAGTATTACTCTTTTACATCAAATTACTGCAGCAGCAGCCTATGTGATGTGTTTCAGGCCAGCCCAGACCTGTCCACCTTCCACACAGACCAGGCCATTGCACCTACCGGGCCACCTCGCCCCACCCCGTCCACCTTCTGTGCAGACCAGGCCACAGTGAGAGGTCGTTCCATGGCACTGTGGCGGGTGTGGACGTTTGGCCCGGCCGGCCGGGCTCTCTGTGCATAGGTGCCGTCGGGTCTCGGCCAGCGCCCCTTCTCTTACCCTTGTTCTGACAGATGAGCGTCCGCAGCTCCCAGCTTCTCCGCGCTGACACCACTGAGTCACCTTTTGGATACGCAGGTTCTGCGGCATTTTATTGACACAAATTAACATTTGAAAATCATTTTACCTACTTTCTTGTTAAGTGAAACAACAAAATGGGGAATGCTGCTGGTGTCTGTTTGCATGACTGCTTTCCAAGTGTCTGACGCAGGTGTGAAGAACTGAACGACGTGGATTCTGTGGGACTGGAATCTGGGGGGATGCTGCTGGAGGTTCCACTCTGGAAAGCCTGGAAATGCTCTAATGCTACACAGAGACCTCCCCCAGCAACCTGGCCCCCCAAAAGATGAGCAGCCATTGAGATGGTCCTAACTCACAGGCACCCTCCAGGACAGAGCTGATCTGCACCCTTCACAGAACCAGCTGCCTCCAGGACAGGGCAGATCTGCCCCCAAGGGGTGCCAAGGTGCACCCTTCACAGAAGCAGCTGCCTCTGCCTTCTCCCATGGAGCAGCTGGTGGGTTCAAACCACCAGACTTCTGGGTAGTGGCTGAGAGCTCAGCCACTGCACCACTAGAACTCCTTAAAGACTGCCTAGTTCTACAATAAAGACCTCAGCATACCTTCAGCACACAGAGTCACTGCTGTGTCTTTAAAGTGAGCAAGAGCATGCAATTAAAGCATCAGGGATCCCAGAGAGAAAATTTTTAAGTAAAACAGGAGAACTAGAACCCACCCAGGTGTAGCATTTGGGAAAAGCAGTCACACTGAAAAGTCAACGTGCCAACACCCGGTGCACTGGCAGCTCTGCCCTCACTCTGCAGCCCCTCCCAGGACGCACAATGCCCCATGCCCCTCACTCTGCAGGTCCTCCTACGACGCATGATGTCCCCTGGTCCTCATTCTCAGGACGCACAACTCCCCATGCCTCTCACTCTGCAGGTCCTCCCAGGACACACAACGGCCCATGGCCCTCATTGCCAGGACACACGATGCCCCATGCCTCTCACTCTGTAGCCCCTCCCAGGACACATAACAACCCTGCCCCTCACTCTGCAGATAGACCCATGATGCAGGACGCCCTCTGGCCCTCACTCTGCAGGTCCTCCGAGGATGCACGACACCCCGTGCCCCTCACTCTGCAGGTCCTCCCATGACACACGACGCCCTGTGACCCTCACTCTGCAGGTCCTCCCAGGACGCACGATGCCCTGTGACCCTCACTCTGCAGGTCCTCCCAGGACGCACGATGCCCTGTGACCTTCACTCTGCAGGTCCTCCCAGGACGCACGCTGTCCCACACTTCTAAGTGCAGCCCACTGGGGGGCTGGGCAGGTCAGTGCTGGGTCAGCACCCAGGGCAGCCACGATCACTTACCGTCCCGCTCCTCGGTGGGGCTCGAGTGCCGACTCAGGGACCGGAACTGCAGCTCGGCAGCGATGGAAGCCAGCCGGTCGTTCTCCGGGACGCTGGAGCCCCTGTTTCAACATTTGTTGGGAGTGAGCGCTCAATTCCTTAGAGCAAAAATGGCAGACCTAAGAGATTCCTCCCAAGGGGAGATTTCTGGGGAGGGACTGTGTCATCAGAGGACAGGTGGTCATGTCTGGAGACAGCTGAGGGGCCAGGCTGTGTGAGGGGAGGGTGTCACTGAAGACAGTGCGTGGAGAGGAGGTGCACTGCATGCTCCTACAGCGCTATTCAGATAGCAGAGACACGTCCACCCCAAATGCACGGGCTTGCCCAGGAGAACCCCTCTGTCCAGCGTGGGGAGCAGGGGCCCTTTCACGCCTCACAGCTGAGCCATGTGTCAGGCCACCTCACTGCCCAACACAATACTTTATGTTAAAAACCCCAAAAATGCAAACAAGATGGCATTTATATGTGTATTATTAACAAGAGGAGAAACTCTGAAATTTAAGTTCATGATGGATAAAAACGCACTAGCCAATTCTGGTAAATACTTCAATTTATCACAACATTGTTTATGTACTTAATTCTATTTATAATTCTACAATAATTACATGACCCTAAAATTTTAACTCTCTCAGTTAACAATTATTCAAACAAAGCCAAGCAAAAGGGTAAAGGAGCAGAAAGCTTAATGTATTAGACCAAAGCTGATTAGCTGCTTTTCAGAATAAAGTTAAGTGTTTAGCAACTCAGAGTAAACCCATAAAGAAAAAAACCCAGAATTAAAGGAGGGAGGTGTTAATATGCTAATTCAAGCAATCAAAGAACTCAAGTCCCTAGGCCACTGGTTTGCTGTTTTTCAAGATTACTGACTAACACAATGCAATTTTAAGTGACTAGCATAATAACAAATATACTAGTATTTATGCCCTTATAGGCTACACACACTGAAGAGACTTAACAAAGTGGGGTCTGCAGGACAGACATTTGAGGCTGATGAGGTCCGCAATGTTTTACTTCCTAAAGCCTCAAATCTTGTACCGCCCTGGTAAAGGTCTTGATGGAAGGCTACTGCTCTCAAATTAAAAAACCCAAACTCACTGCCATGGAGTAGAAGTGTTTTTAGAGGCTGTAAACAACATGGAAGGAGTCTGCCAATGACCTCCTATGGACTGGCTGATGGAATCCAACCACGGCCATGGTCTCCTGGAACAAGCCTTGGCGTCAGACCCCTCTCCTGAGCGGCACCCAAGACCATGGGCCGGGGAGTCACCAACAGCCCCACATCCTGCCTGCCCACTGGGGGAATGTGTTAATCCACCACCTTCAGAATTGTTTGTAAAGGGAAAAGAAATATAGTTAAATGTTTAAAACTTACAGCTCCAGAACTGGGTAAGTAGGAGCTGTTTCTGGTTTATAGAATTTGTCATTTTGTGTGGGAACAAGTGGACTGTTGTTACGTCGTCAAGTCAGAACTGACCCACAGCGGACCTTCCGTGGGTTTTCAGCTGGTGGGTTCGGACAGCTTGCCTCTGGGAATGCAGCGAGCCCCCTACCACTTAGCACCAGAACGAGTTTGCTGTTTTCTGCGGGACAGCCTGCCTAGAAAACGGTAAAGCACCCAGCCCTTGGTACATCAGCGGCTCAGTCCAGAGCACAGGGCCCTAAGGCACGCCATCAAAGGGGGTCCCAGGCTGGCCCCCAGGACGTGGCACTACGTCAGGGCAGAGCCAATCCACTGTGTACTAATGCTCTGGGACACTGGGCAATCTGGCTGACGCACCCACAAGCCAGGTAGGGTCCCCCCCAGCACAGGCTGTGTGCCACATCCACAGACCCAGGCCACGCGTCCCGCATTCGGGACACTGAGAGCAGGGCTTCACCAGGGCAGACCCACCAGGCCTCTCCCACACTCTTGCTGCCCAGGTGCCCAGGCCTGAGGCCACACTGGGAGTGCAGCAGCACCCATCACCCTAGGGTGGCCTGCCTGCACACTCAGAAAGCAAGACGCCGCCCTGAGCTTGCAGGAAATGGCCTTCCACACTTACAACTATTAGGGCAAGGTGTTGTCTGGGATGCAGAGAAAGTTCTGGAATAGGACAGAGGTGAGGGCTGCACGCACTGCATCTAAGTGCCACCAAACTGCCCACTTCACACGGTCCTGTGTAAGAGCCTCCCTTCAACAATAAAAGGACTAGCAGGTATGTTGGAGATGGTGAGACTGGCACAGGATAGGGCAGAGTTTAGGGCTCTTGTACTTGGGTCACTATGAGTCGCAGGTGCCTCGACGGCACATAACAACAACAACAGTCTGGATGAATGAAGTGAAGATGAACCCTACACAACTACGCCCAGTGTGATGAAAAGCCACCCATGAAACCCTCAGGTGCCAGGCAGGTCAAGGCAAAGGTGGGCATGTCCCTCCTCCATGAGCCGCTGAGATGTGTGACGTGGGGACTCGCTGTGTCTGGAGAAAGTCTAGGGAACAGGTGTCGGAAGCAGGCACAGAAACACCTTCTATCTGTCTCCCCTCCTCTGTGGCTGTGCTGAGGCGAGTCGATCCCCATCACCCTGGACGGCCGCCTTCAGAAGAGGCTGCAGCATTTGCAGAACTATGTGCCCAAAGGGAATGATAGATAGTGAGGGGACCATGTCCCAAGTTAACTGTTAATTGTTCAGCTGACGGCTTTAGCTGTAAAATAGCTGCCATGTTGAGGTTACAGACATCTACCACTAAAAGTTAAAACATTAATTTAAACTTTCAATGACTCAGAACACCAGCAATGTTTTAGGCATTTTAGACATTACAGTGCAAGGGGAGCAGCCAGCATCTCCGGCCAGCACACCACACTGACTTCCCGGGTGCAGACCCAGCATCCCGGGTGATGACGTCACCACCTTGGCTGTGGGTGGGGCCACTGACAGGTCATCCTCATGGCTGCGCGAGCAGATGCTGAAGGACCAGGGGTCCACTCATTCGACATCCTACAGCCTGATGGACCCTCAGCCAAAGAACAGCAAGGGCAGGTGCGGCCAGAGCCGGCCACCCGAGTGACAAAGAAGGCCTGGCCTGGACCTGGCCTGTCCTGAGGCCTCTGCTCAGGACCTTGGTTCCCGGAAGACACAAAACCCTTAACTCTTCTTTATAAATCTGTAAACTGCTTCTAATCAACAGCATTTAAAACCAGGAGACTTGGATAGAAAGCGGGCCCTCCTGGGAGAGGAAACCCCACGCCACCCCGACATCATGAATGAGAAGCCGTGCTGCACCCCTTGGGCCTTAGTGGGGGCAGATACTGCGGGCCAGAGTTCCAGCCTTGCTGTGGGTCGGCCTGGGAGGCGCTCTGGGGAGATCCGACCGGCTGAGGCTCCACGAGAAATCTGGCCAAGTGGGAGCCCGCGGCCGAGACTGGACCCTTGGTGGCCCATCCCGCACTGTGCTCACGCGCTGGCAGGCGGGCCACGGGGGAGACTACCTGGTGTCGGGGGCACTGCTGGTGGGTTTGGGCGCAGCGTCGCTGCCGCAGGGGCCAGGGCGCCCGGCAGGGGCGGCGGAGGCAGTGGCGGGGCTGCCGTGGCTCCGGGCATCCGCAGGCCCGCTCCGCGTGCTAGACGAGAAGAAGAGGGTCAGGACGCCGCTGGCAAAGGGGTGGCGTCACCGTAGGCAGGGCCGTGCCGAGAAGGTGCAGCTCTAAAACTGCAGACGGCTCTGCGAGTAACGTTCACATCTAGCTATTCAGGGGAAAACCCAAACCCAGCAAATCAACATCGAATTCCACAGCCTTGGGGGGAATGCAGCTATTTCCTGGGACATACATACTGTCAAAGAAAAGGAGGCTTTTCCAAAGAAAATGTACGCCGGGGATGAAGGGAATTCCGACTCAAAAATGCAGGAAGGCCACCCCGCTCAGGCATGTCCTCACTGACCCCCGGTCCTAACTCACTGCCCCC